CCATATTCGCCCTGCAGCTGACAGGACGTGCCGGGCGTGGGTAAAGAAATGTGGCTTTCAGGGACTTTTCTGCCCTCTTGACTGAGGAAAACACGGACTATAAAGGTGTGCAAACCCTCTGTGTTTTGCCCTTGGGTTTAATTTTTCAGTCACCCCGACTGTTCATTCTCTGCTTTGTTTTTTCCCACACAGGTGGCAGTGCCTTCCTGTCCCTCTCTCAAGACCTTACATTAAGGAGGCAGCAAAACACGTTCTTGTTTGTTACTTGTTGCAGGTGGAAAAGGGACAGAAAACGGATGGAAGTGGCAATAAAAGTGCTCATCCAGTTTCTGACAAAAGCATCTTGAAGTTCCATTCAACTCTGTATTGTAATTCTTTTCATTTTTTGTGTTTTGTGCTTGTCTAGCTGCTCACTGCTATGAGGTCCTTGAGCAGTTTTCTTCATAATCCTTTCTTCATTGCATCTCTGTGCATTGTCAGCAGGCTTTGTTCCCCACCATCCTTTTCCAGGTACCTTAAGAAAAGCTGAATGAAACAAGTCCTTTTAACTTCTGGAACTCCACAGGTGAGCCCTTGCCTAGCTGTTTGTCTTACTATGTCTTTTATTTAGTTATCCATACTCAGACCTTCGATCTTATGCTGCAGCTGCTTAGCTTCCTTAAGTCCTTTGAAAAATGGCATTAAATTGCATAAATTTTAATCTAATTTAGTCTAAACACAACTCACAGTTGGAATCACTTCTATGCAAGGGAGTATCCAGAACCTTAATCAGAACAGGAATGCTTATAGGAAATAGAAGGAAAGTACTTTCAGGTGTTTCTCCCAGCTCTGTCAATGTAACTGCATGGCCCTTCCTGAAAAGGATTGCTGACCTTATTCCTTTGTTTTTCAGTTAGAAAACCTGATGTATCACAGTCATGTTCATCATTCTATTTAAGGATATTTTTGAGCTTCTTGGTGAACATTTAACAACTGATCAAAATTGCATTCAGTCAAGATTACAGTTTCTGAAAAGTATTATTTTTGTCCTGGTGGTTTCGCTGCAGCTCACCTTGTAGTGAGAGACTGGATCCATTCCAGCACAGCGATTCCGAGCTAGGCACTTCCTATTCTTCTCTTGGAACTTGGTTCTCTGCCTAATTAACACATCAGTGTTCGGGCCAGACCCCAATTGCACGAGTCAGCGGTGCTGTCATTTTCCTGGCACAGGGCTCCAGTCAGTGCTGGGGCCAAGGAAGAGGAGGCAGGGAGGGCATGGAAGCACCAGCTCCAAGAGACACCTCAGCAGGAGGCAGAGCACAGGGCCAGAGTCACTACCCTGACTCATAAGGAGTGCTTAGGCCAGGGTGTGAGGTACCACTCTTCAAATTTGGGACTTAGCTGTAGGTGGCTGCGTGAAACCTGCTCACATGGACTCCTGCTGGGCACCCATGTGTGACCAGAGTTTGGGCTAAGATCCAGTTGAGTGTTGTGGCCAGAAAGAACTGAGAAGCCTGGGAGGCTTGGTGACTCAGTTCTGTCACTGGTGTTCAGGAGATAAAAGCTGAAAGTCCTTGCTTTTGCATATGTTTCTTTATGCCAACAGGAGATGTGCAGCCTTAGAAGACACAGAACAGAACCACAGCCACACACAGAGTTCTGCATGAGTTGCCTTGCCCAGTAATTCCTCTGGGCTCTGAGACCCTGGACTAGATCTGTCAAAGCAGGAGCCAATATAGTCTCCCCTTCCTTAGGAGCAAGTGTGCTAAAAAACAGACTCTACTGAAGAGTGCTGTCATCCCTTGGATGGATTTTTGACTTCCAATTTAATCCTGCCATCAAAATCTGAATGATACACAGGACTAGTGGGGATGGTATACCATGAGAAGGCAAGGATCTTGTCTGATGTGTCCTATTGAAAGCAGTCCTTAAGGGCCAAGTCATCCAAGACTTTTCTCCGGGGTCTTTTTAAGCTTTTTTCTGTGGAGTCACTGGACTTTCCTTTGAGCAAGGATTCAAGTCATGGAATAGAAGAAATGTGGGAAGTGGGTACCGGGAGAGGCTAAGCTCAGTGGGAAGTTAAGCATGCTTGCCAGACATACAAGAGACAACTGCCAAGTTGTTACAAATCAGTAAAGCATTGATTTAGCCCTTATGTTCCTGTGAACACTAGGTACAAACATTTTAGCTGGTGTGCTTCTTGCTCTGACAGGTCTTTTGAATTTTTGAAACATCTGAATTTTTAGACTTTTTTTAC